TTTTCCCGCCATGTCCCAATCATCTTTCTTCTTTTTTATTTTTTCTTGCCTGCAATTTATCTTTCTCCAAGTTGTTGTTATCGGTTCTCAGATCTGAACAGAAACAGTGTTTGGGTGTCTCTGTTTCAGACAGGAATTACTTCCTTGTTTGAGTTAAAAATTGACTGTTGATTGCTGCAGTGTTTTACCCCAAAGAGTCTCTACCACAATTCTTTGTTTGAGGTTTGCCAACCCCCCACTGCAGTTAACACCTCGGTAGGTGCAAATCACAGGGTTTATTTCATACCTGTTAGTGCATCGGAATCACTTCAAAGCATTTGGGAAACACAAACCAGGAAACAACAGTAGCTGAATGCAATAGTGACCCTCATTTCCCCCGCCATGGTGCCTGAGCTGAGTCCTGCCAGCTCCTGCTGGCGCCAGCGCCCTGGGCTGGATGCCCACGGGACCTGCTGCTTGTCTGCTCCCACCCGGTCGTGCTGCAGAGGAGCAAGAGGGGGGCTCAGCCCAGGCACCAGTCGTTTATTGTGCCTTGCACACCTTGCACGTGTTGCACACCTTGCACATGCACTCCTTGCATGCCTTGCACACCTTGCACATGCACTTCTTGCATGCCTTGCACACATCACACGCTTTGCATGCCTTGCACATACACGTCTTGCACACCTTGCACACATCATACGCTTTGCACACCTTGCACATGCACTTCTTGCACACCTGGCACACATCACATGCTTTGCACACCTTGCACATACACTTCTTGCCCTCCTTGCACACCTTGCACACATCACACACTTTGCACACCTTGCACACGCATGCTTTACATGCCTTGCACGCCCTATGTTGAGGACCACGTGCATCTCCCCCAGCTGGGAACTCCCAGCTTGCAAACTCAGCTCCCATCCAGCTCTCCCCTTCACTGCTGTTCCGCTGATGGGAAGCATGGGACCGGGCTGCAGAACTGCTCTCTTCCCTGTTCAGGGCAGGCTGAAGCGCTGCGGTGGTGCAGCTGGCTCAGCATCCTCTTTGGGCAGGTTCCCCTCCATTTTTTTCCCCATGTATGAGTGTAGTTTGATGCTTTATCTGAGCTTGGGGGGGGGCTGTGTGGAAATGCCCACATAGGGTGAGCACTGGTGAAGGAGGATGAACTTGGTTTCTCATCTGCAGGACAGAGCTGTCACCTGAATTTTAATTTAATGTAATCTTAGGCTTTAGGTGAGGAGGTGTTTTGTCTTGTTTTGAGTTTGGTTTTTTTTTTTAACCAGCAAATAGGCATTAACAAACCAAAACAACCAGCAACAACAACAACAAAAAACAGAAAGTGAAAAGAGCTAGAATTTTAAATCCCAGAAACACAAGCTTTACTAAGAAGCTAATCTTCTATGGCTTGTTTTTTTTTCCGTCTTCATTTCAGTTTTGTATTGTGAAAATGTTTATTATGATCAATTGTCTGCACCTGCCTGATTAAACCATTGTCCTGCCACCATCCAAGGGGAGCTACATAACTGGGCAGAGTCTCTCTGGGTGGGACTGCATAAGAATTTACCTTGTCCACATAATTTTTGCATGTGTTCTTGTAAAAAAAAAAAAACCCGAGTTGTCTGATTTTATAGCTTTAAAAAGAAAGAAAAAAACCCACTGCTACCTTTAAAAAGAAAATCACCATAAACACTACATTTATTGCTATAGAAATAATTATTTTAAATTTCAGATCTGTTACATATTGCAGGTGAAATCCATCAAAGCAGCTGATATAATCACTGTACAATAGCACTGTACTCCAAACAATGGTATTTTAAGGACAAATTGAGGATCACCTACCTTTGACTGGGATGCTTCTGTTGCTGGAAATTTTCTCCTGCTCCTCCTCCAGTTTGGATTTAGTCTAATAAACTGGGTTTTTTGCAGCTTGCAGTTCAGTTAGTCTTTGGCTCTTGATGTTTAATTCTTGTTTTAGTAGATTGATGTCCAGAGTTTAAAAATAGATGCACTGAAAATTTTCTTAAGTCCAGATGTGCATTGCTGAGCAAATTGGAGACGGTCAGAATACTTGCAGCAATAGTAGAGGAGCCACCAATGTACTGAGGATGGAACCCAAAAATGGTCATTTTTTAGCCACCTGATGACATGGGTGACATCATAGGAAGGGAAAAAAAAAAAAAAAAGTGAAGAGGCCAGGAGCAGAAATTGCAAGAGTTTGAGAGGAATTCCCCCGGTCTACAGACAACCTGCAAAGTTTTAACAGAAGCAACTGTTTCTAAAGAACAGCAGTAAAACGCTGTGTGCTGCTTCCAGGCAGAACTTCACGTAACGGAGGAACTTTGTGCATGTTTCCTCAAACTCCTGTGGTCTGAATGAACCTGAATGCTTGCTGTAGGGCTTCATCCCACAGAGTCATCTGGTGACTCCTGCTCTAATTTTCTCCCCAGGTGTGACAGTCCCCCTGCGAGGTCTGGAGGTGCCCAGGACTGGCCCTGAGATGCTCAGGGCACTGGGGACCCTGCGCCTCGTGTGGTACCGAGCAGCACAGCCCAGCCCAGCCCAGCTCCAGAGTGATAAACACTTGCACACGTTCCTGCTGTAATTCCCAGGCAGGCAGTTTCAGTTATTAATTTCTGACATTAGTTGTGACCATATCGGATCGTTGCAGTGTGGCCGGACTGAAGCGAATGACTGATCAGTTAAATACATCAACGTTGGGAAATCAAATCGGTGCGTCACCATGGCACATGGTCTTTACTTGACCATATCTTCAAGTTCACTCGGTAAGTTGTCATTTAGTGGTGACTCATTTCTCTCTAAATTTAATCTTGCTGCATTTTAACCACTGCATACTTCACATCTGGGTTGCATTGCCAGGGGGGAGGCACCACCATCCATCACCAACCCCAGAGCTCTGCACGGGTACCACCAAAACCCAGGCACCTCCGTCATGGGCAATTACAGCTTGTTCTGTGATACCCCTGCTCGTTGCCTCATGGGATCGGAAGCTCAGTGGATCGGAAGCTGCAACTAAGGGCAGTTTGTCCATGCACACACACAATTCCTCTCTTGCACTAACCAAATAATCTCAGCTGAGAGAAGTGCCGACGTGGCGAGAGTTATTTCAACAGTATGTAGGCTCAGTAACAGTTGTACTGTTGCAAGCAACTTTGGTCCGGTTTTCCTGCAGTTGTATTGTTGCAAGCAACTTTGGTCCGGTTTTCCTTCAAATAAAAAGTGATTGATTGAAGCAAATCTACCTGTGGCACTCCTGAGAACGCCCTGGGCTGCTCTCAGCACCCTGCGTATCTCCAGGGTTTGCAGGATAACGCCCACCACATGGCAAATGGCATGTGGTGCAGAGTGCTCACGGGAGAGGTGATAGAAGTGACTTTGTTCCGACCGACCCGGTGGTATGCTGGCGGGGCTCTCTTCCCCTCCTCATGCGCAGGCACGCTTTGAAGACAGGCTGTGTTTTGTGTAAGTCAATCACTGAAGCACTTTGAAATGTCCCTGGAAGAAGATAAATCTCCGTTAAGCAGTTTTGCTTTCTTTATCATGATACGATTGCTTATATTGCGGTAATTCTTGTTTTGTACCAAACCTCTGCAATAAACTTCCTGCTATTGATTAGGCTTCATCAGGATTAACCTGTGGAAGGACATTTATTACCACATCGGTAGCAAGCAATAGGATTGCCTTTGTATTAGCAATAAAATGTGGCACACAGTGGTGGGGCGATGCGGACAGACAGACTGATGCGGACAGACAGATAGAGCGCTGCAGGGGACAACAGCAGCTGTGGGGAGACCTCAGCTCTGCAGGGACACCGAAGGGTCTGGGGGAAAATTTGTGCCCCGAGTTTGGGAAGTGTTCTG